ATTGCACATCCTGTCTGTAAAACCGAATTACAGATTTAGATCTGGAAGAGGCCCCAGAAGTCATCTAGAAGACACCCTTATTTTACAGAGGAGGAAACTGAAACTCAGAGAGGTTAAGTAATTTGCCAAAGATCGAAGAAGTGTTGTGTCAGACCTAGGATTTGAATTAAGGTCCAAAGCTGTGCTTTCTGTTTAATTGGTCTTGCTTAATTGTTTTATTTATTTATTTTTGTTGTTGTTGTTACAAGGGAAGGCTCAATGGGGTAACCATTATATTGGGAAATAATTGTAGAAAAGACATAAAAATCTTCAACAAAATAGTTATAAATGAAGCCATGGGAATGAATGAGACTACCAAAAGAAAAGGGCAGCTAGGTGTCGAATAGAGTGCTGTGCCTGAAGTCAGGAAGAACTGAGTTCGAATCTAGCCTCAGACACTTACTAGCTGTGTGATCCTGGGCAAGTCACATAACCCTGTTTACCTCAGTTTGTAAAATGAGCTGGAGAAGGAAATTGCAAACCACTATAGTATCTTTGCCAAGAAAACCCTATGGACAGTACTGGTGTTCTGTGGTCCACAGGGTCACGAAGATTTGGATTCAACTGAACAAAAACAACAACAGCAAAAGAGAATCAAGAAGATAATAGTAATGATAAAACTAGTTAGCATTTATATTATAGCTTCTAAGCATCTGGCACAAAATAGCCCAGAACAGAGCCTGAGGAAACATCCACACTTAGGGTATGAAAGGAGGAAGATGAAATACCGAAGGAGTATTTAGCTAGAAGAAGCAGTCTTTCACAAAGCCAACAACAGAGTACAGAAGACTCTGAACTCGACCGTGTCGAAGGCTTACTGTCTTTCTCACTTCCCAACCCATCCTGGCCAATTGATAGTGAAGCCTGTGCACTGTTAGAGAAGGGGAAAGCCTCCCTTCTCTCTGCTCCTCCCCTCAGGACCCCCTCAACTGTCCCTCTGACCCTTGAAGCTCTCTGACTTTGTGACTTTCCCTTTTCAGCGGCTCTATCCGAGCCCCAGCTCTGTTACATTCTGGACGCTGTGCTGTTCACCTATGGCATCGTCCTCACTCTGCTCTACTGTCGCCTCAAGGTACGGGGGCGCTGAAGAAAGGGGTAGGAGTGCAGCTGTGGGTAGGGATCACATACTGGAAAAGGGGAAGGGAAATCAGTTTTGTCCATGAGGAGATGAGGTGGCTATGTGGAGGAGGATGTTGTTTTTCTACACTGATGGCTTTCTTTTTCCCCTTCCCTCAGATCCAGGTGCGAAAGGCAGCTGCTAGATTTGAGGTATGGACCAACTGCCCATTCTTCCACCCCTCAATACCCAGGAGCCATTATTGGTTTTGCTAACCCTTAGCCTCCAGTGAAGCTGGAAGCCTCAGAGTTTGAAGACTCAAAGGAGAGGATGCTTAAGATCCTGTTAGAAAAAAATATCCATAGGTACTGGGATCACAATATCACTGCAGCTCCTGACATTCTCAAGACCAGCAATCAGATGTGGCAAATGAGCATAAGGTGGAGGTGTTTGTGCTTGTTTGAGGAGGATGTCCTCTTGGGTCTCAACAAGCATGGGTCTGGGTAGTTAAGTGCTAGGCATTTGCTAAGCAAACCCACATCCATCTACCCAAGGGTGGATTTGCTGCAGCTCTGATCTTTGATCAATTACAAAGTAATTGATGCAAATTCCTAATTACAAAGTAAGGTCCATGCACACTGAAGCCTTTAGAGACTGTCCTGGTTTGTCTTTTTTTTTTTTTTTTCAGTCATGGCTCACTCTTCATGACACCATTTGGGGTTTTCTTGGCAAAAATGCTGGAGTACTTTATCATTTCCTTCTCTAGCTCATTTTCCAGATGAGAAAACTGAGTCAAACAAGGTTAAGTGACTTGCCCAGGGTTACGCAGCTACTAAGTGTCTGAGGCCAGATTTGAACTCAAGAAGATGAATCTTCCTAGTTCCAGACCCAGCACTTTATCCACTGTGCTGCCTAGCTGCCTTCTGTCCTGCTTACTACCTTAGTAACAGGAGTTGAGAGCTCCCTGTGAACTGGAGAATCCTCCATACCAAGATCCCAAATTTACCCTTGGGCCATAAAGGGGTGGGAATGGATACTGAGGAGATTCCTATGATTCTGGATCCTTGAAACTCTATATCCCTTTCTTTTCACAGAAATCTGAAGAAGTCTACACAGTAAGTGACACTTTATGGTCCTTGCCATTATTGTTTGCCATAGGAATGGGTTAAAGGGATTAGCTCCTTTAAAATATTGAGAATCTTGAAAATGATCAACAAAGAGTAAGTGTTGGGGAAGGGCATGGTTAAGGGTGCCTGACTGGTGGGCCATTGGGAGGGCTATGGTCCTTATGGTGGTAGGGGGATTGGGGAGTGGGAAGTTCATCTTGGCCTGGAACAATGGTCTTAGTTCCCTGGTGAAACCCTAACTCACTGTCCTAGGGCCTGAGTACCCGGACCCAGGAGACTTATGAGACATTGAAGTATGAAAAACAGCCACAGTAGAAGAGGAACCATGGAGAGCGCCCCCAGGGTCACAACAGTCTCTTAGTCCCAGCCTTGGCTACCACCTGACTGCCCTTCTTCACCCCAACCTCTGCCCATTAAAATCAACACATGAAGTGTCCCTATCCTCCTCATTATTATGATGGAACTTCACTTCTCTGATAATCAGCTGGCTATGCCCCTTTATTAACACACAATCCCACCTGCTCATTTTAATATCCCTGCCCTTCATGAATATGCAAAGATGCCATTGACTCTCATTACCATTCACATACTGACCCTTGACCATCCCATGTTATTAAAGGGTCTCCTACATCTTGCCCTAAGTCATCCCCAACCCTGCCCCACCTTTCCTCTGTTGATTTTGGGGTTTCAGAGAGTGGGGCTCATCCCTCAATAAAACTGCCATTGGCTGGAGTGTTCTGCTCTGCTGGACATTGAATACTAGCTGTGACCAGGATCTACAATCTATCATCAGACCATCAACCTGATTGGCGAGTAGGGCCGTGGAACTGGGTAGTATGATATCAGGTCATTTAGAGGACATAAATACCATCCTGAGTCAGTCCTATGCTCCCATCTGTCACCCACAGTATCCTGTCTCTGTCAGGGGACTGACCAATGAGTTTCGGAAAGCCTTAGTGATTCCCCCTGGCAACCACACTCAATGTTTAGGGATCTATAAGAGGGAGCAGGGTGTGGTGAAGAGAGTGCAGGACTTAGAGGCAGGGAATGAGGGTTCTGTTCCTGACTGACCCTAATTAGTTGTGTGTCCCCGGACAAGCAAGTTAACCTGTCTGTGCCTCAGTTTCCTCTTCTGTAAAATGGGTATAAAAATACAATGTTATCTCACCAGTTTGTTGCTAGGAAAACTTGAATTCAAATCTAGTTTCAGATACTTAACTAGCTGTGCAACTTTTTGAAAGTCACTTAACTTTTGTTTGCCTCAGTTTCCTTAACTGCAAAATGGGAATAATAATAGCACCCATCTCCCGGGGTTGTTGTGAGGATCAAATGAGATAATATTTATAAAACAATTTGCACAGTGCCTGGCACATAGTACATGCCATATAAATATAAAATGCATGTGTACATGTATGTATATACACATGGATGTATATATGAACATATACATATATGTGCATATATGTATGCATATGTGTATGTACATATATGTATAGATATATAAAACTTGCCCAGGGTCAGACAGCTGGTATCTGAGGCTAGATTTGAACTCGGGGCTCCCTGACTCTAGGCCCAGCATGCTATCTACAATGCCACCTAGAGTTCCTTGAGTCCTTCGTGCCTCTTGTGCTTACAATACTGTATGTCAGATACATACTCCTACTTAGGCCTTCCATGAACTCCCATTCTGTACCGTGAGTTATTGTGGTGTCTTAATTTTGTAAATGAGGAAGCCAAAGTATGAAGCAACAGACTTCTCTTGACAAAGAGGTCAAATGATTTCCCCTAAAGTCACACAGTTTCTAATAGATTCAGTATGAGAATACAGGGCACCAGCCCAGGCACTCAGATTCCTATTTTTTTTCATTATCTTCCCCTCCCCCTGATAAGATTTGGTCAAAAGGGTGAACTTAGTGAAGAGTCATGAAAGCCACATAGAGGAGGTTGAGCCTTGTTATCTGGGAGATAGTAAGATTCCTGAGCAAAAGAGGCAAGGTTATTAGATAAAAATGGAGGCTAGTGGGAATATGTGTTTTAAAAGTAAATTGGGTTGTTTCTAGAAAAAAAAACTCATTCTCTCCTGCCCCACATCACAGGATTTTAAATCTCATCAACTCTGTGTTACACCCCAAGATAGCTGTCACCAATGGCCCTAGGATAGTAACGGGGTAGAGTTTGACCTTCTCTAGGAAAGGAGCCTGGTTAGTAGGTGGTAGTGGATCTGAATGGGGAGGTTAAAGAATTAGGTGAGCATGCATGAATTGGCAGGGAGGAAGCATGGAGAGGAAATATCAGGTTTGTTTTGTAGGGAGGGATTCTGGAGGTTGTGTAAGTTCTGGGTGACACCTTTTACAACCATTACTTTGACATTTATTTGTGGGTAATTTGTGTGTCTCCCTCTACCCCCATTTTAGAGAGCTCCTCAAATCCATACTCTTACCTAGGCCCCCAAGTGAGCTCCTGTCCCTCACCATGACATTTACTTTCCACCCTACAGAGGGATTTCTTGAGTTTGAACTCCCTAATTATGTCTTCTCACTTTGTTCTTTTACCCCTTAACACCCCTAGTTAGGTTAGGCACCCCCACCCACCTCCTCCCAACTCAGATCATTAGTTGAATGGAAAAAAAACAACCCTTTATCCTAAACACCAAACCTGAATGCTCCATTTCTCTTTGAAAGTATTCATACTTGCCTAGTCCCTTTGACCCTTTTCCTTCCCCCATTGCACAGCTCCCCTGCCTACTTGAGATCTCAGAAATGCATCAGACACACGGCTTGGCTCATGCAATATTTATTGAGAAAATAGGGGATGTTCAGGGAGTGGGATGGAAAGGACATCTTGAAGACTGGTCTGAAAGGGGTTTGGGAAGGGTGGGTTGAAGTTATATAATATGTATGTTCAAAGGCAAGCTGGGGATAGGAAAAATCCTACTAGCAGGCAGCCTTTCTGCCTGACTCCACAAGAGAGCTGAAAAAGGTCATCGTCTCTGTGAAGGCCTTCTTGGCCAGTGGAGTCACTTGCTCTTGTGACTTCTCAAAATAAGCCCTAGGAATAGATGAAGACAAAAGTCAGTGTGGATGGGGGATAGGAACTGGCTGGGGGAAGAAGGGTTGGTGAGGAGGGCATATATGAATGTGTCAGGGTAGACTGACCCAGGTCACCAAACTCTAGTCTGTCTTTGGCTGGGGGAAGAGGAGAGAGAGGGAAGCCTTTCAGAAAAATATATTGATGAACTCCAGGGTCCTTATTGCTACTGCTCTTCCCTATGGCCAAGAGGTCCTGGCTTACTAAAGGATACCCCCCATCCCCCAACCCTCCCCCCTACCCCCACCAGCTCCGCAGGTCCCTCAACCTTAGCCCCATAATCCCCACTCCCAGGTCTTCCATCCCTACCCGTTCCCCATTCTCATTTCCCTTTCCCATGCTTACTGGACTTGGGACTGCATCTCCGGGGCTTTTAACTTCTCTGTTATATGCTTGCCTATATCAGTCAGCTTCTGGAAGGACCAAGATAATATGTTTGCTGTCAAGGACTCTTCTGCCTGTCTTCGAACCAGGGCTCCTGGACAGATACACATACCAAGCTCAGTCTCAACCCAGGTGTCTGGCTCAAAGTCTTCCTCCCCATAAACTTAGCCAAAACCCAGGCATCTGGTTCCTTGCTTCTTTCAAGAACCAGATTTCTGGGTTAGGGGGTATGGGGAAGGACCCAGGGAACCTCCTCCTTGGACCTTTAACTGGCCCAGTCTGTATAGGAGAACAGACCACTGGGTGGTCTGCCCCTTTTGCCTTTATCCCCAACACATACCTTCCAGGTGGCAGATGGTCAGGATCAGCACAGTCAGAGCAAGCAGCTTCATGGTGATGTCAAGTCAGTGTTTAACTGTCTAAGGACAAAAGGGTTGGGGAAGAAATTGAATGGGCATCAGCAGCTATAGCCCCTGGGCCACCCCTCTTGGGTCTCTTTCCAAAACTCTCTCTGGCCCTCTGGCCCATTTCATTCCCTTACCTTCCCAGGATCATAGCCCAAATGCCCTCATAGACACTGCCCTCCAGATTTCACCCTACCTTGTCTAGGTCAGGTCATTGACTGTGTGAATCTGCCCATGAGGATAAGGGGTTATATACTTACCTACTTCCCTCCCCCCATCAGGTGACCAAGTTTGTGGCAGGACCCAATGGGTCAGGGATCATAGTTAGGGTAAATAGATCACACTGATAGGAGAGGTGAGGAGGGACAAGCAGGAGCTCAAAGTGATGGTAAAGAGAGATTGATTAACCTGAAGGGATGGCATTAGCAGATGCTAGGAACAAGAAAGCCTCCTAGAGGAAGTGAGCTGAGTCTTATAAGAAACCAGGGATTCAAAAAGTCCGACATTGGGAAGGAGAGAATTCCAGGCATGGGGAGCAATAGCCGATGTGAAGGTATCAGAGAGTATTTAAAGCACATTAGAATGGAAGACGATTGGAAAGGTAGAAAGGACTCAGAACTCCTGAATCCTCCTCTGGAAAGCCTTTCATATATTCCACCAAGTCTCTGGGTCTCAGTTTTGTCATCTCTTGTTGAGGGAACCCTTTCTCCCTCTCCCCTAAACTGTAATTTGGGGGAAATCCTTAAAGACAGTGGGGGTGGGGGTTAAGTAGGGGATCTATAGACTGAGGTATAAAAATGAGGACTGGAGGATGGGGGTATCTAAGCTTTGAGGTCAGACGGTAGAGATTGCTGTTTTTGTCTTTTCCCCAGGTTAATATGTAATGGAATTTGAAAGGCCAGAATGTATGTCCTTCTGGCAGATGGATAATCAGTGACTTGCCCAGCCCCCAAACAAAATAATTAGGGTTGCCAAACTCACCCCCACCAAGTGAATGGCTCTGAAGGGAGAGACTGGGAGAAAGATTGCAGAGTGCTATAAAGGTTAAAGGTCTTCCAGTCCCTTGATTATCTAATCTGCTGCAAATTGTAGCTGGTCAGCAGAGCCTGAGTCAGCAGGTTTCACAGAACTGCCAGGGTGGGGGGAGGGGTGGGGGGTGAGTGAGAGATTGTGTTTAGCGCATAGGGTCTTGTAGCTGACTGGGGATCAGAATTGTGTTGGGGGGTAGAGGCTCATTTGTTCTGATTCCAGCATATAATCCTGCAGATATATGGCATTTAATGGGAAAAGCAACTAAGGATCTAGGCAATCTATCCTTACTGTCATGATCTTTCAGACAAGTTGGCTGGAATGCACCTTTACTGGTCCTAACAGGCTTGTGGGTGATGGAATAAAGAAGAGAATTGGGAGTGAGAACTCCTAGATTCTGTTACCCTGCTTTTCTTATGGGTTCTTCTTTAGAGGAAAGGTTGAGCTGCTAAATGGAATGACATTCTTCCAAAGGAAATTCCCATATTTTTCTAGCCACTTCTATATTCCTTTTGCATCTAACCCCTCTCTACCTCTCTCCACACAAACAAGAGAAGTAAGTTGATTTTTATGCATTCTGGAAATAGCCCTGCCCTATTATACTAGCTGTGTGACCCTGGGTAAGTCATTTAACCCTATTTGCCTCAGTTTCCTCATTTGCAAAATGAGCTGGAGAAGGAAATAGCAAACTACTCTGGTATCTTTGCCAGGAAAACAGCAAGTGGGGTCACAAAGCCTCGGAAAGGACTGAAAACGTCTGAACCACAGGAACAGCTATACGCTTAAGCCCTTGAGTAGGAGCTGATGCTGTTACCACCACTTATTCTATGAGACACTCCAACTCCCAGCTCCCTGGATCTTCACTGACTGTCCCACATGCTTGGAATTCTCTCCCTCCTCATCTCGTCTCTCATTTCTCTTCTAGTCCCAGCTAAACTGGCACCTTCTGTAAAAAGCCTTTCCTGATCTCCCTTAATGCACATGCCTTCCTTTATTGATTGCCTCCAAATTAGCCTATATATTTTGTTTGTACGTAATTGTTTGCATGTTGTCTCCCCCATTAGACTGTAAGCTCCAGAGACTGTTTCTCCCCTCTGCCTCCTCCCTTTTCTTGGTATCTTTAACACTTAGTAGCGTCTGGCACATAGTACTCGCTTAATAAATACTTGTTGCAGGTCTGCTGTGTGTGAAGTTGAGAGTCGTCTTGAATTGGTGGTATCTATGGGGTTTGGATAAAGGGTCTATCGAAGTCGGGAAGATGTGGATTCAAGTGCTGCCCTAGAACACAACCAGGGTCAAATCAGTCCAACCTGTGGGAGCCCTGGCCAACTCTAATTTAGAGAGGAGTTGCCAATGTGCATCGGCAGAAAGTGTTTCTACATTGGAAATTCAATGCACTCATGAAATCATAACCTTCCTTTAAAAAAAAAAAAAAGGAGGGAATGATGCCCCTCTGACACATGCAAACTCCTGGAGAACCACGGCACATTCTGCACTGTGGGGATGGTGCAGAAGGGGAGGCAGTGGCCTTTCCTGACATTTCCGCTTAGTGGGCTGGAATCCTTGGGATTCTCCCTACAGCTTTGGAGGTCTAAGCCCCTAGGCTTCAGCAAGAACCAATTCCCAGGTCCCCGTCAAGCTCACAGAACAGGGATCTCCCGCCCCTCAGCTCTCTACGTCACGATTTCCTTTCTTCTCACTGGCCTCTGAAACACGGAGATCTCCTTCCTCATTGGTGGGATAGAGACAGGGGGCGGTGCCTGATGCCCAGGTGGCATGGGATGGGTTTTTTTCCTCCCCTCGCTGCCAGGATCCAAGATGGCGCCCTCGGCCGCGCTAGGAGGGCTCTGTGAAGCCGCGGTTCTGCCCTCACTCAAGATGGCCGCCTCCATCAAGATGACCGGGGTGTGCCGGGGGTAGAAGGGTGGCGCGGTGGCCTGAGCAGGTAAGGACCGTGGATGCAGAGCCAGACTGGAGTTGGGGTCGTCTGGACGCAGCGGAGAGAGCAAAGGAGGATGGAGGAGTGGGCTTTAAGGCTGCAGGGTCCGGGGGGTGGCGGGCGGGGTGAGGGAGCCCCTTGGAGGGTAGGTGATGGGGCTGGGCATGACTTTGGGGCGACAGGAGGGGTACGGAGGGGCTGAGTTGCCCGTCTGTCCCACTGACATCTCTCTCTTCCTCCACTCCCCTCCGTTCCAGCTGCAGGGTCCGAGCATGTCGAGGCACCCGGGGTTGGGGTGCTGGGTAGCGGGGGGTGGGGTCGGCGGGGGCTGGGGAGGTCAGTAGCGACCCCTCTCCTGGACCCCACCCCCACCCTCCCCCAGGCTGAGATGGGGAACATGTTGGGCCTGGCTCCTCTGGGAGCTCTGCCCCGCCGAGGCGCCCGTCGCGAGGAGCTCCTGCCCAACCCGGGGAGTTTCGATGAGTTGCACCGGCTCTGCAAAGGTGGGGATTCTGGCTGAAAACCTAAGGCTCGGAACTCAGTTCATCATTCATTGAGCACCAATTGTTTTCCAAGCCCTGCACTTTTTGTCCGGGAGGGATACCAATAATTGCTGTCTAGTTTGGCGATAAGGAACATACCCAGATAACTTATTAAGTAATCTCTTGCAATAATTCAAGGCACTGAGCAAAGTGCTGGGGATTCAAAGGAAGGCAAACACAGTCCCCGACTTCATTGAGCTCACATTGCAATTGTTCGAACAACGTGCAAACATACAACATATACAATGTAAATGGAGGGAACTCTTAGAGGGGAGGGGTGGGGGGAGTGTCCACTGGGAAAGTTCTTCAGGTGGGAATTGAGCGGAATCTTGGAGAGTCAGAAAGTGGAGGTGAGGAGGGAGAGTATTCTAGGCGTGGGGGACAGGAGAGGTGGAGTATCTTGGGCAAGAAAAAGCAAATAGACCCCCATAGCTGGATTGTAGTTTGCGGAAAGGTATAAAGTGTATGAAGACTATAATATGAAATATTACCTGTTAAGTACGTTAGAGAGGTGTAAAATGTACATGAGGTCTAAAGGGGAAAGGATAACCGGAGGAAGGAGGAGAAGCTTCCTGGAAGAGGAGGAATTTGAGTTAGGCTTTTAAGGATAAAGGAAGGGGAGACATTTCAGATATATGGAACTGCATGACCATAGGCATAGAGGTTAGGAAGGTTAGGGCATGTTCCAGGGACAGAGTAGTCCAGTTTGGTTAAAGTCTAGACTACATGAAGAGGATTGGCTTGAAATAAAATGGCACTAGATTGTGAAGAGCTTTAAATGCCAGGCATTTGTTCAGTTATTATTGGGACTATAGGGAGTCACAGGAAGGATTTAGAAAAGGAGCATATGGAAGAATATCCTGGTTGTGGCATGAAGGATGTATTGGAGTGGAAGAGAGACTAGAAGTAGGAAACATCTGTTAGGAAGCTATGGTGATAGGGTCGATGAATCATAATGGGAGACCCCTAAGAGGAACAGAGGTGGAGACAGATGTGAACTATATTACAGAGGTAAAATTGATAAGATAGTTTCCCAGGGTCTGGGTGAATAGTCCCAGGAGTGGTAGGTCATGGTTAGATGGGGGTATCTGAATTACAAGGCTTAAGGAGTGAGTAATTCTCTCTTTCTCTTTGGGAGATTTCCTTGTGATTAGAGGGCCCCTGTCTAGACTTATCCTTTCTTTTGTTCCTATATTTTAGATGTGTTCCCAGTACAGATGGAGGGAGTGAAGTTCATTGTCAACAAGGTTCTGAGCAGCCATTTCCAGGTGTTCTCATTTTCCAGTAGAAATCCCCTGGGTCTGATTCCTTCCACCCAGACCACCACTCCCTTATGCCGACCTATTCCTGAACCCTTCCATCCTGTCATCTATTGTTTCCAACCTCTAGCTAGGCTGTATGTATGACTCAAAATGGAAGCTGTATCCTTTTACCTCTCAGCCTCATGGGGAGGGGGTAGGGGATGGAGAAGGACTGGTATTACCTTCATATGTGGTATGTTAAGGGGTTCCTTGAGTGGCAAGAAAGAGAGGAGCTCCGCATTAATCTGCTAACCTACACTCCTATAACCCTTTCTTCTTCAGGTGACCCACACTGTGCACATGAGTGCCCTGGGCTTGTCAGGTTATCACCTCCATGCTGCTTTTGTTGGTGACCAGCAGCTCAGTTCTACTGAGGTAAGGGGATCAAACAGTTGGTTTATCTCACCAGAAACCTAAGTGAATACCATGAAGATGAGGTTGAAAAGGTTTTGTTTTTTTTTTTTTTTTGAAAAGGTTTTCTTCTTGCAGCATCTGAGTCTAGGAAGATCTGATGAAGGGTGTGGGGTACTTCTTGGGGAATAACCATTCTCTCTCCATCCCACTAGCTTCTTCCACCCAAGTTTCCAATCAATCAATCAAAAAACATTTATTAAATGCCTACCATTTGCCAAGCACTGTGCTAAGCGCTTACAAAAAAAGGCAAAAGATAGTCCCTGCCCTCAAAGAGCTTATAGTCTAATATATAGAATTTAGATTTTTTTTTCTGTCAGTTTATATTGTTGTCATTACTGTATATATTATTTTACTGGTTCTGCTCACTTTATCCTTCCACAGTTCATATAAGTTTTCCCATGCTTCTCTGAATTCTTCATATTAATTTTTCTTATAGTATATTAATGTTTTATTATTTCCACATGCTATAACTTATTTAGCTGTTCCCCAGTGGATAGGCATCTGTTTTGTTTTCAGTTTCTTGTCATCACAAAAAGTACTATCAAGAATATTCTGGAATTTATGGGACCTTTCTGTCTTTGACCTCTGTGGAGTAGAAGCCTAGCAATGAGATCTACATGTAAAAGAGTGTGGACATTTTAAGTCACTTTTTTAACATAATTTCAAATTGTTTTATGGAATGCTCAGACCAATTCACAGTTCTCCCAACAGTGTCTTCATAGATATGTTTGTGCCTGTCTTCATAGATATGTTTCTTAGATGGCATTTCTAAGATCTCTTACAGCTTTTATGTGTCTGAGTAGGCAGAAAAGACGGTCCCCTTTTTTCATTGTGGGTTGTGTCCATCCTTTTTGTTCCACCAGAGGGCGCTGGATACAATTGTGAAAGTACTGCCATTGGCTTTTGGAATGGGATGTTGGTACCGACTGAGTCCCTTTCACCAAGCCATCTTCTCCAACAGGTGTTCCCTACTGTTGTGGGGGATATGGACAGCAGTGGGAGCCTCAATGCCCAGGTCCTGCTTCTCGTGGCAGAGCGGCTCCGAGCCAAGGCAGTCTTCCAGGTGACCCACCCGTACTGACCCCCATAGCACACTGCCTTCCTCCTGTCAAGGGTATCCCCATTCTAAAGATATGGAGAGAAGTGCTATCTGAGGTGGTGGGTTGTCAGGGTCTGCAAATGTGAAACGGGTTGTGAATTTACTCGGGAGGGTGACGTGGGGCTGAAGCGGTCAAGGCTTACTTCTTTTCCATCTAGACCCAACAGGCCAAGTTCCTGACATGGCAGTTTGATGGGGAGTATCGGGGGGATGACTACACCGCCACTCTGACACTGGGGAACCCTGACCTGATTGGGGAATCAGGTGAGGAACCAGTATGGGGAGCTGGAGAGGGGGAGGGTGGAAACCCTTTCTAACCTCAGCTGCCCAGTGCTGTTGATTACTTCTCCTTTTCGGTCCCTTTTTTTGCCTATATGGTATAAGGGCAGAATTAAGGGGGAGGCTTCCTTACATTAATGATACTGCTTTGAGGGATGTGCAGTTGGGGAAGCTCCTGGTGGGGTATTGGTCCTGGGCAAAAGGGGTTCCTTGATTATTCCCTGACCCCATGTTTCCCCACCTCCCACCTCCCTCCCCCCACAGTGATCATGGTCGCTCACTTCCTGCAGAGCCTTACTCAACGTCTGGTGCTGGGGGGAGAGCTGGTATATCACCGGCGCCCAGGAGAGGAGGGGGCTATCCTGACATTGGCTGGGAAGTACTCTGGTATGAAATGAGACAGGATGGGGATGAGATTGGGATGATTCTGGTCTGCTCTGGGGTCTGTGGCCTGTGTTCCATTAATGACCATTAGTGACTGCCACCCCCTTTTGGTTCTTACAGCTCTGCACTGGGTGGCTACACTGAATGTGGGGTCAGGAGGGGCTCATGCAAGTTATTACCACAGGGCAAACGAGCAGGTGAGGCCCCCTCCCAAGTCAGACTCAAATACTCTTCATCACATCTGCTTGCTGCCATCATGCCCAATCCTCACTCTGAGCCTAGCTGACCCTTTCATGTTCTTCATAATGGACCTCACCAACCCTATTTATCCTTCTGTCCCTGCCCTTGGGGGCTCAGGTTCAAGTTGGAGTGGAGTTTGAGGCAAATACTCGGTTGCAGGACACCACCTTCTCCTTCGGATACCACTTGACGTTGCCGCAGGCCAACATGGTGTTCAGAGGTGAGGGGAGTATAGGGATAGGGAAGAGGATCCTATGGAGTGGAGTCATGGCTAGAGGGATGTCACTTAGCACACTGCCTGGCACATAGTAGGCACTTGATTTATATTTATTGACTGACTGAAGGATGCCTGATCTATTGTGCTCTCCCCCCCACCCCCAAGATGTGGTATTGGCTCCCACCTCTGATAGTTTGTTATTTTTTTCAGGCCTCGTGGATAGCAACTGGTGCGTTGCTGCTGTGTTAGAGAAGAAGATGCCCCCTCTACCTGTCACCCTGGCGCTTGGAGCCTTCCTCAATCACTGGCGTAACAGATTTCACTGTGGCTTCAGCATCACTGTGGGATGAGAAAGCTGGATATGGTTCCCCTGAGCACTTGAAGCCATCTGAGAAAAAGAGAGAGAGCCAGGCTCTGGGTCTCTCCCCAGAGACCAGTTTGCTCAGTGTAACTCCATCGGACAAGTGAGGGCCTGGACAGAGCCCCCCTGCTAACTGGAGCTATCAAAATGGGCAGGATGGGAGACTTTCCTGTCTTCCCAGAGCTCTAGCCTGACTGCTTTCCTCTCCAAGCCCTTGAGTCTGGCAGGCTGTGGACTGAGGGGGAGGGCTATGATTATGTCTGATTGCTTTCTTCCATCCCTGTGTATTAAAGCCAATTCTTCTCCTCACTGACCCTCAGCAGAGCTAAGAAACCTAGGTGGATACAAATCCCATCCTACTCATCAGCTCTGCGCCTAGTGCTGGAGTAGGGAACAGGGCTGTGGCTGCTTCAGCCTGTACCCAGTGGACACTACTTCACTTGTGAAACCAGCTCTGACCCTTTCCCTGTGCAGACTAGAGAATGAATGAATGAATATATGGCCCTTCCTCGACAGCAGCATGAAGATGTGGTGATGCCTTAGTCAATCATTGTTCACCTCGGGTGGGGTGTGTGGCCCCTGGACCTCTTTCTTACTACTGGTCTTGACTGCAGATCTGGACATGAGTCCCTCCATGGCCCTGTAGGAAGCGTGCAGAGGCGAAGGGCAGGGCCAGCTGCTGATGTTGTTTAGGAAAGCTAAAGTAGATGTTTGGGGAATATCCCAGGTGGGTGCATGGGTAGGGACAGGTTGTTAGTTGATCACGTTCTGGGGGATGGGGGCGGGCAGCATCTCAACTGTAGATTTCCTGTAGCAGAGGCATCATGGCGTACAGCTCGTGAATGTGCTGCAGCTGGCGCCCATACTCCATGTTGATACTCCGCAGTTCTGCCAGTAGCCCAAGCATCTTTGCATACAGAAACCTGCAGGGTTGAAAATCACTGACTGGGTCACCTACTCAGAACTTCTAGGGGCACCCTCATCCTCCCTGGGGAAGAAAAAAGCAAAGAAAAGTAGGTCAAAATCTCATAGATTTGAAGGTTTGGCCCTGGGCCCCTGAGTCTTTTCCGCTGAGCAGCTGTGAAAATGAAGCCCAGGCCTGTACCCTAAAGAAAACCAGCCAGCAGGCCCAGAATACATTGGCTTAGCAGCCTGTCAGGGTCTGACTCCTCTGGTCTGCATACGCACAGTGTGTGCTGTTGACAGGAGCAGCGGTTCGCTAAACTCTGCATCCTGTGAAGGCTGGAGGTGGGAGAAAGGGTAGGGCTGTGTTAAGGTAATGGGAAACATTTTTAAAGAGGCTAGGCCTTTAGTCCAGTTGTCTGAGGCTGGGTTGAAAATAGGTTCTAAGAGCTCGTGCTGTTTGGTTGGAGAAGGAAAGCAAGTCATGGTCAGTTCTGACCTTTTCTTAAGGTGGTTCTACAGTGAAAAAGAAAGCAAGGGGAGAACCCTTAAGATTGGGGAAGAATTGGGGCAGCTAGGTGGAAGAGTGGATAGAGCACCGGCCCTGGATTCAGGAGGACTTGAGTTCAAATCCGGCCTCAGACTCAACACTTACTAGCCTAGCTGTGTGACCCTGGGCAAGTCACTTAACCCCATTGCCTAGCAAAAAAAAAAAAAAAAAAAAAAAGATTGGGGAAGAATAAATTGAAAATGGCCTGACCCTTGACCAGCTATGGGTCTTGGGGCCAGTTTTCATCCTCAGATTCAAAGGGAAATGAGAATCAGGGAAAGTTAATGGATAGAGTAGAGGAGTGCTGGAAAAAGAGAATAGAAGGAGGAAAAGTGAAAAGGGTTAGGTTTCTTTAGAAAAACAAAGATTGGGATTGTTGAATGGCAGGGTTGGTTATTTTAAGCCCTGGAAGAACCATAATATAGAACACAAGGTTCAGCTATTTTCTATCACTAATGAATAAAGAACTAGGAAAAAATAGAATTAAATTGCAGCAGGAGGGATTTAGCTATGAGACATGTGAGGTATAAGGACCATTTTTGTCCAAGGAGAAAGACTAGATGACCCCTGGAGAACCTAGTCCACAAAAGGAAAGGATATTGAAAGGCATTCAGCCTGAGCCCAAACATGAGGTTTCAGTTCAAGTTAACAAACCTTAGGCTCTTGCTATATGGAAGGTGCAATGCTAGGCCTTGAGATACAGATGTTTTTTAAAGAAACACTTTCAAGCCACAGAGTTTACATTTTATTGTGGAGATAAAACATATATGCAGACAAGTAAATGCAAAGTAATTCCAGGAGAGGAGAGAGCAATAACGTGGGGGATTGAAGAAAGGCTAAACACAGGAGGTCTTCCCAAAGCTAGGGTTTAAAAGAATAACATTTCCCTAGAGCTTTGTAACCTTTTTCTCACTTAATTCTCAGAACAGCCCTGGGAGCAAAGTACTAGAGGGTGTGAACCCCTCTTTTTCAGAGGGGAAACATTCAGAGAGGGTGGCACTCCCCTGGGGTAACAGTAAGGGTTCAAGGCAGGATTTGAACTTGGGTATTGCTAACTCCAAACCCAATCACTGCTCTTTTTGTTACCCCACACTTCCTCTTGAGGAAAGTGTGTAAGGAGGATGCATTCCAGGCTTGAGAGGACATTCAGTGCAAGGTCCTGGAGATGGAGAGTCTGTGAAGCATTAGTAACATGAAATATGTCTGGAAAGGAAGGTGAGGGGAACAGATCAAGGCGCTTGAACCCCTGAAGCTGAGGAGTTTGTGATTTATTCTAGAAGCAACACGATGTTGATGTTGCTGAAGAATTTTTTTAGCAGAGGTGTGTAGACCTGTAGAGTAATAATTTGGTAGTTCTGAAAGATGGAAAGGGAGAGATTAGAAGCAGGGAAGACAATTAGGAGTCTATTGCAAGAGTCTATGTTAGAGGTGATAAGGACCTGAATTGGGGTTTTGGGGGGAGTTGGGAAGGGAATGTCAACCAGTTAGTCAAGTATGTGCCAAGCACTGTGCTAATTGCTAGGGACACAAAGACAAAGAATGAGTGGATGCCAGGGATATAGTGAGGACAAGATCAACAAGAGTTGGCCACCAGTTTCCTATGGGAGGTGAAAGAGGAGTCAAGGAGGATTCCAAAGTTGCAAACCAAAGTGACTGGGAAGATGGCGGTGCTCTCGGCAGTAACAGAGAAGTTAGAAGGAGGGATGGGCCCAGGGGGGAGTGAACTCTGGACTATTTTGAGTGAGATACTAATGGGATATCCAGATGGAAAAGTCTACGTTTGGCAATATAGGCCTAGAGCCCCAGAGAGAGATTAGAACTGAATATGTAGATTGAGGATTCCTGTGCAAAAGTGATCATTGAACCCACGGGAACTGATATCACAAGAAAGTGAGAAGGTCCGCCATATAACCCTAGATAACACCCATGCTAAAGAGGCAAGAAATGTACGATAAAGAAACTGAGAAATGGTCAAAAGAAGAAATTGGAGAAAGTTTCATGTAATTGTAAACCAAGGGAGGAGGGAATCATCCAAGGGAGGGGATGGTTGATTGTATTCAGGGTTTCAGAGATCAAGATGAGGATTGAGAAGAGGCCATTGGATGTGGTAATTGACATCCTTATTAACTTTGGGCAGAGTACTTTTAGCCGATTGGTGGGGCGGGGAGCCAAATTGTAAGGGGTTGAGAAGTGAACGTAAGGTGAGGACGCGGAGGCAGAGAGAGTAGATGACTTTTTCTTGAAGTTTAGTTGGGAAAGGGAGAAGGACTCTAGGAGGATGGACTAGATCCCTCCCAGCTCTCCAGATCTGTGATTTTGGGTAGTGTGAGGTGATGGCGGGACCAACGGAAGCTCTTTAAAGCTTGTTCCAAGACAGAGAGCTGGTGGACGAGGAAAGGCGGAAGATGAGAGAAAGAAGGGGCGAGGATGGGGTCAACAGCACAAGCAGAAGGGTGGCACAAAGAAGGGCCGTCTCTTTGGAGACTGGGGCAAAGGGGTGGCTGGGATGTGATGTGAGGCGGAATGGGAGTGGGACAGAAGAGGGAGCTCAGAATGGGCAGCCTCTGTTTTCTCGGGAAAGCGGGAGGGGAGCTCCTTTGCTGAGATAACTTCGTTAGGAAGCTCGTTCTTACCGGCCTTTGGGCCGGGCTTGCTGGCCCCTGATGTAGCTCTGCAGCGTTAGCGCCATCTCCTCTTGCATCTGGTCAATCTGTTCCCGTTGGGTCACGCCAGGTCGGTCTGGGGGTGGGGGTGGGGGACGCAGGACAGAGGAATGGAGATGGTAGAGTTGTCTCAGGCCTGCCTGAGGGGACGGAGGTGGAGAGTGACGGCACTTAAGGCTGAAGAGGGGACGTTGGGGAATTGGGGGTTTCTCACCTGGAGAGAAGAGGGCCAAGGCTGCCATAAGCGCGTACTCGGGCTCCTGCAGCTGCAGTCGCCTCAGCGTCACGTGGAAACGAAACATCACCTCCAGAAACTGCTCCTGGAACCCCACTGAAGGACACGGTGGGTTCAAGGGCAAGGCCACGGCTTCCTGAGCCGCTTCCCAAGCCCTCCCGGCCACCTTCCGTCACGGGGAGTGCATGGGGGAGCTGTGCCCCCTCACCATGAGCTGCATCCTGGAGGGTATAGCGGAGAGGCCCACACAGGAAAGTGTGGCTGCGGGGGCAGAAAGTGGTGTTGAGCTCGATGTGACAGATTTCCAGGGCTGCACCCTTCAGCAGGGATATCTGATCTTCCATGGGCAGAGACCTGTAGGGTAGGAGAACGACAGAGGAGCTGAGTTGGATTGCTGAGAGACTCCCTATTGAAGAGCAGAGCGGCCAAAGGCTAGCAACGACAAGGCTGGGAGCGGGAGAATTTGCCATGGAAATGGTAGAGAGGGGTAGGAAGGGTCCTCTCCCAGACTGCTCAGAGGTGGAAGGACTCACTGACCGGAAATGGGGCAGGTCCTTGGTGAACTTGATCACTTGCTGCACCATGAAAGTGCTGATGTCCGCTAAGTGTATGAGCAATGGCAGCACGGGTGGCAGAGAGGGTGCGGGCTGGTTGTGTATGAACAGATGGGCTGGGGGCTAGAAGAACGGAAAGTCAGAGGCCTTGGTTCAGGCACCTACTCGGTGCTTTCACCTCTCCCAGACTAAAGGGGCTAATGGCCATTCTTTGGCCATGGAGCAGTTACATCTCCCGGAGCTGGCATCCCAAACACTAGCCTTCAAACCTCTTGCACAGGTCAGCCTTCCCTAGTGTTCTGGCTAGTGCTGATACCCAAACCGGAAAGAGTCAAAACAGAGAAAGAAAATTATAGACCAATTTCCCTAATGAATATAGATGCAAAAATTTTAAATAAGATATGAGCAAATAAATTACAGCAACTTATCACAAGAATAATACACTATGACCAGGTAGGATTTATACCAGGAATGCAGGGCTGGTTCAATATTAGGAAAACTATCAGCATAATTGATCACGTCAGCAACAAAACTAACAGAAACCACATCATCTCAATAATGCAGAAGAAGCTTTTGACAAAATACAACACCCATTCCTATTAAAAACACTAGAGAGCATAGGAATAAATGGAGTCTTCCTTAAAATAATAAATAGCATCTGCCTAAAACCTTCAGCAAGCACCATATGTAATGGGGACAGGTTAGAAGCATTTCCGAGTGTTCTGGCTCTAGTCTTCCTGCCCCACTTTCTTCTTCTGGAGTTCTTCGTACCTTGACCTCAGCAGGTACTCACCCGGAACTGCACAAACTGGTCAAATATGGTGCCCACATGGCGGGCGTGAGCCCCTAGTAACACCTGGACTAATGCCTCCTGCTTCTGATTCAGCTGCACAGGTTCCTGCTCTGCCCGCTTTTGTGCCTGCTTTTCTCGCCTCTGTGCCAGGACTTCTGCTGACAGGATCACTGTGCACCAGAAGAGACAAAAGAGATGCTGAGAGAGGTGGAGTCTAACCATACTAGGCCTCTGCCCCAGGAGCTCTTCCGGGCTGAAAACTGAGCGCTGCCATGGCTATAAAGTTGCCCAAGGTTTCCCTCAATGGTTTCAGGGGCCCTAAAGATTTTCAAGGACAGCTTGCAGGGGTCTCTGGCCTATTTTCATAGACTATGCAGGTTGCTGTGCTAGGGAATAGCTCAGGGTGGGAGAGTGTTGGAAAGGTTTGTAATGCCAGGGCCACTCATACATGCTCTGGTAAAAGGAGAAAGGCTGTTTTATGAGTGTAAAGGTGATGTGAAAGGGTGGGGCCAACAGGTGTGGAGGTGCAAGGGATAGGTGACAGTTCATGGCCTCAGGGTCTTAATACCTAGAGAAAGAAAATGGAAAGTTGGGTCAGGGAAAGTAAGATGGCCCTTGGAGTTACATGACCAGTTTGGAGTAGTGGCAGAATTTGAACCCAGGCCTACCAAGTCCAGTGCTCTCCCCAGTAGACCACCCTTCCCAGGGATAGGTCAGAGCTGACTCACTGTCTTTCCTCATGCCTGCATCAAGGCATTTCTGTAGCCTACAAGCTGGGCAGTGGCGCCGCTGGTTTTTGCTGACCTCACAGCATTGTTCAAAAGGGCAGGTGAGTCCCACACCCTTCTTGACAGTTCGCCTGTGAGACACAGAGGAGTGATGCAGGACTACTAAGGCATAGGAAGGGGTCAAAGAGAAATGAAAGTGTGTGTGGCCTGGGCTGAGGAACGTCTTTGGGAAATCTGTGTGGAGTCGATGGCGTGGGCCAATCTGAAGCATATAAGGAGACCAAGGGTATGTGAAAAAACTCAGATAAGTCAGTGCTCCGCAGACAGTGGCTATTATCATAGCCCGTTTGGGAATAAATGACATCCAAGCCTACCTGAGAGAGGTCTAGGACCTAGGGACCTGGATCCCAATTTTTCTAAAGGTTTTCTACACGGCTCTACATTATATAATCCAGTTGTGATAGTCTGAACAATAACTTGACTTTAGTATTTTTCATATCAAGTTTAGTAATACAGTAAGAGTTGTTTGGCACACGGTAAATATTTACTGCTATTAGTAGATAAGTTGGCAGAAAATCTGAGACAAAAGTTCAGGGTTCTATCTTTGTCTTCTACTTGTTTGTACAGTGCTGGGGTTGGCAAGACTGTGAGTATTGGCTATGGGGTCAGGGGCTGCAGAACATGGAAATGGGGCCCCATGACTGATACGAGAGGGTAAAGCCTATGTTCTGTTGGGGCCTAGGGGCAGAGTGATCAGCTGTTTGAAGGCTCATTCATGTCGCTGTCTATGTGGGGAAATGGATCTCACCTGAAGAACCCTTTGCAGCCCTCACACGTGAGGGCGTGGAAGTGATAGCCAGTGGCCCTGTCCCCGCATACAACACAGCTCCGCAGTTCATCCTCTTTGCTTGCCATTGGTTTTGGGGCTTCAGATGGGCCCCAACCCCTTGAGAATGAGGAAGGGTGAGCATTTTGTCCTTGCCTTCTCACTCCCTCTCTCCTACAGGACCCATACTCAAGCTTTTGTCTCAGGCCCTAGCCTTTTGGAGTTTTGCCTCCCTTTTTCTCAGTTGCCAGTTTTTCATCTGGAATTAGCTGCACTTTCCTGCCCTTTCTCAAAATTCCTGTTCTATCTCTTACCCTGCTCAGCCCACCCAAGTCATCACTCTTGTTGTACTTACCTGTAGGGCCCTCAGCTTCCACATGGGAGTCATCAGGCTCCCTCCTCTCCCCAACCTGACCCTTAGTCCTTGCCCCACCTTGGACTCCATTCTTAGTGTTAAGGATTGTGGACCTCAGTACCTGAGAGGGGGGCGATGGAGCCCAGTGGTGTGAAGTCTCCAGTTGTTCTCAGTGCCTTGGGCTTAAGGTAGACTTTGGACCTAGGATAGAGACCAGGATGGGTGGTTTTCCCAGCATGCCCAAGGAGTTGGCATCAGCAGCATGGAGGAGGAGTTTAGTGGGAGTGAAAGCCTAGGAATTCACTAACAGTGATTTCTGTCCCCTCTCACACCTCTCACAGTTCAGGTCTGCCAGCTGTTGTCAGGGTGAAAGTATGTGTGGCCAACTTTAAGAATACCCAATGTATATTTCCAGCTAGTGACAGGATGAAATAATCTGGCTTTATTAAAGGGAATTCCTCCTGTTAGAAGGAAAAACTGGATAGACAGGACAAAGTGTAGGAATCTGACACATTAATAACTATGTATATTAATAGAGTAGGTGTAGGAGGGTAGAGACTACTCTGGTATTAACGTGCTATTGCTTTGTTCTCTGAGCCCCAAGATAAAGGAACCGATGATTTCTGATAATGAATTTTAAGATTCAACCAGGGTCAACTCCTTTCCTCCTCTCCCCTATACATGCACAGCTCTCCACAGGGAAGCAATGGACTATTGGTGTGGAAAGAGGCATATGTTTTCAGAGCTGGTCAATGTGTTGATCTATCTTGCTTGTCTGAACTTATTTTGTTAAAAGGAAGGGTGGTATGATGGGGTAGAGCAAGGGTGGGGAACCTGGGGCCTCGAGGCCACATGTGGTCTTCTAGGTCCTCGAGTGTGGCCTTTTAACTGAGTCCAAGTTTTACAGAATAAATCTTTTTATTAAAGGGATTTGTTCTGTGAAGTTTGGATTCAATCAAAGGGCCACACTTGAGGACCTAGAGGGCCACATGTGGCCTCGAGGCCCCAAGTTCCCCACCCCTGGAGTGGAGAGTCATTGGGAAGTGTTGTTCATTTGTTTCATTCATGTTGGACTCTCTGTGACCCCATTTGGAGTTTTCTTGGCAATGATACTGCAGTGGTTTGCCATTTCCTTTTCCAGCTCATTTTACAGATGAGGAAACAGAGGCAAACAGTGTTAAATGACTTGCCCAGGGTCACACAGCTAATGAATATGTGAGGCCAGCTTTTAACTCAGGAAGGCCCAGCACTCCATCTACTGTGACACCTAGATGCCCCCAATATGAGAGGAAGTGATGGTGATATTAAAAAAAAAAAACAAAATATTTTTTAAAGGATAAGCAAAAGAGCATCATTAAGCATTTAAAAAGAACAGAAAAATTTAAGGGCCTATAGCTTTTAGGATAATTCTTCTGTGTACTCTTCACTGAGGTATATCACAGATCTTAGCCCTTCCACACATTACTGGTTGTTTTAATGAATTGCTGTGGCTAAAACAAATGTATTATTTGGTGATGGACTTAGCTAGGATGGGCCTTGGACAACAGTCAGCTGCTGGGTGCCATGCTTTCAAAGCCTTTCCAGCTTAGTAAGACCCACCGTATGTGATGACCCATCAGAGTAAGCCTGAGTGGAGGCAATGTCCAATCTTCACTGGTAACACTGGTAAGTGGCTCACCTGGACTTTACAGGGATGTACCTATCTGTGTCTCTCTGTGAGTAGGCCTTTCTTTGCATTCCTCTGTAGGATTGTGCTTTTCTTCATTTTTCCCGAGTCAGCCACTGACCCACAAGGCCACATCATGAGGAGGCTCTGCCTTCTTCTTCCTTGGTCTCCCCACTCCAAGGACAACTCTTTATCAGGTTCTCACTTTATTCTCAAGTACTTTGGAGAGGTACAAAAGAAGATGTCCCTGAGTGAATCACTCCACTCTTAATCATTTGGATCAGAGAATCTCTAAGCCTCCTGATACTAATATTCTGTGATTCTGAGATTTGGTCTCCACACTTAAAGAATTCAGACTATACAAAGATGAGCCATATATGCATAAAACCAGATAATACCCAAGACAATAAATAATAAAGTATGAGATAATAGCTAATAATAATAGCTAACATTTATATAGTTCTTACTATGTGCAAGGCATATGACAATTATCATCTCATTTGATCCTCAAAACAACCCTGGAGGTAGATGCTATTATTATCCCCATTACAGGTGAGGAAAACTGAAGCAGACAGAGGTTAGTAATTTGCCCAGGATTGCACAGCTAGTTAAATATCTAAGGTCATATTTAGAACTCAGGTCTTCCTGACTCTGGACCAGGGGTGGGGAACCTCTGGCTTCCAGGTCACGTGTGGCCTTCTAGGTCCTTGGGTGAGGCCTTTTGACTGAGTCCAAGTTTTACAGAACAAATCCTTTTATTAAGGGGATTTTTTTCTGTGAAGTTTGGATTCAGTCAAAGAGCCCCACTTGAGGACCTAGGGTCCTTGGCCTCGAGGCCACCCCTGCTTTAGACCCAGGTTCTATCCACTGTACACTTAGCTGCCTATCATGTATAATAAAGTGTTTAGTCCTTAAATTTAAGAGACTTACACCAGAAAGTTCACTGTGGACTAAGAGAGTGAGGAAAGGTTTCCCAAATAAGCTATGGCTTGAACTTTGAAAGAAATTTGTCAGATTCAATCATTCAACAAATATTTATTGAGCACCTACTGTATGTACCTCCTCATTAAGAGGTATGGAGGATATTCTCCATTTGTGGATACCATATTTACCTGTACTGTATTTTGTACCTATGCTGTGTTTCCAGGATCTCTACTGAAGTGATGTGTATACCAGTACTGTAAATCAATCAATAATCCTTAAAGCGCTTAGTATGTGCCTGGCACTACACAAGAGGCTGAAGACAAGAAAAGACAGATGTAAAGGGTCCTGACCTCAAGACGCTTACATTTTATGGGGGTTGGGGGTGGGGAGAGAAGAAAACGTGCAAAAATAAGCATGTGGAGAATATATACAAAGTAAACACAAGTTAATTGAGGGAGGGCGGGCTCTAGAAGCTGGGTATGCATGGGTGTACGGAGGAGGAATCCAGAAAGACTTCCTGTTGAAGATGGTGCCTGAACTCAGTCTCAAATGAAACAAGGGATTGCAAGAGTGGGGGGCAGAGAGTGCGGAAGAGGGAGTTCCTGACATGGTGGAGATGGCAACACCTTCATGCTTCCTCATCCCGTGTAATTCTTGTCCCTGTCTTCTATGAAGTCCTCCATTGAAGAGCTGCCCACTAAAGATCTTCTGGTTCTTTGAATATTTTATGGGAACGAATGCAACGTTCTGGCTGTCCATCTGTTATCCCTTGCTCTAAATGAGAGACAGGCACATCTCCTTTTCTGTGTCATGAGTGCCCTTGAGAAGTGACATAAAAGACATCATCAAGGGCAGGCCATTTTTGGCAATATGGCACAGCCTACTTATACCCGAATTCTGTGCCTTTCCTTTGCTTTAGGTCACCTGCTATTTTGAAGTGCCTGTGATCATGGTGTTTCATGATTCACAGTTACATAGCATGGTTGGAAGAATAGGGATGTCAGGGAGATGGGTTTTTGGAACAGCCTGGGATCATTGAAAGTGCTACTGCTGCTTAATTCCCCAAATCCAATCCAATCCAGAAGCAGCACGCAATAAAGGGAAGGAAAAAGTGCTGGACTTGGCAGGGGGAGCACCTGGAGGGGGACCCAATGACCTCTAAAGTGCCTTCTGGCTTTAAGTGTGTCATCCTATGACCATTTCTCGCCAGGCTGGGCCCCTCTGGGCTTTACCATACACACCAGGGATTTCTTCATCCGGGAAGATTGCTTCAACCCCCAGACTCCACCTCTTACCTCATTGCTACCTTCCGTCCAAGGGGCCCCTTCCTCTGACTGTAAAGTGAAGAGCTCTTCCCATCCACTTAAGGAGGGTGCCCAGGCCAGCCATCTCTTTATTTCCCTTGCTCCTACACCCCTTTGGAGACTTTAACACCTGAGATAACACAGGTGAAACTCTTTGCAAACCTTGAAGTGCTATATAAATGCAGCTATTATTGTTAACAGGCACTTATTAAAATGTGCCTACTATGTGCCAGACACAGTATTCATGCCTCTTTGCAATGCTAGTACCTTCCAGTCTCCTCCCCACCCTGACCCACCCCAATCCACTCCACTCCGGTTTCCTTTTCCATGTGGTCTTCCCCATTAGAAGGTAAGCTCCTTGAGCGCAGGGGCTATCTTTTGCCTTTGTATCCCCAGTGCTTAGCATGGTGTCTGGCAAGTGGTAGATGCTTAATAAATGTTAATTGACTGACAGTATACATACACATAAGATATGAGAGAAATTATTATTTCTCCCTCATTAATAATCAATTATTGAATTGGGACCAGGATTTTTTCAGAAGCTTATATCATATTATATCAGTCTCAGAAGGACAGATTGCTGATTATTGACATTGCTGATAATGACATTGAATTAACGGTCTCCTGGATCTCATTCAAACCCCACCCAGGTGGGGAAGCCCATTGTGCTCTACTCAGGTTTCGGGGGGATAAATTCTTTGATTAGTTTGTCCCAAGCTGGGCAATTCAGAAGTAAATCAAAGTCACATCCCCAGCGCCTCATTAGAATAGATCTGCCTCTTATTGTAATGTTCATTCCTCTCATTAATTGTTGACCAATCAGAGTTGATTGCCTCCCTTAAGAACACCTACTCTTCCAAGGGCTTATATGGAGGGCTATAATTCTCTTTGGCAGAATTTTGGAGAGTATCACTGACCCATTTAATTGGTAATATGCTAATATTATTAATAAAATGATTAAGTACCCAGAAACTATGTCTCTTGAATTTTTTAAACATCACAGATATGATAACGAGCATGTGCATACTGTCCACAAAATGATCTGTCTAGTGTGTGACTGGCTCTAACGCTTCCTAAATTGTACGTACTTTCCCTAGGCCCATCATTCAGTTTAGCCTGATGCCCCATGGCCATTGGTAATATTCTTAAGTAACACCCAAAAGTAACCTGTCTTCCTGGGCCCCAGAAAGGTGGTGACTATGTTACCCAAGATCTGTGAAAAGGTTTTCGTTCCAGGAAGCTTGCTTTGGGGTCTCTAGGGATTAACTTGGATGACTC